GGGGTGATTGTACCGAATTTTCAAAATTCGATACAATCATCCCCTTAAGGGTACAAACGAAATGGAAGGTGGTACAAACGGGTACAAACGATCCCAAAACCGCACCGGCTTGCGGATTTGAAAAATCTCAAAGTGGGGTGCTAACATTTTTTTTAATCCTTTATAATTTTCAACCCCTTGAGGTACAAACGAAAAGGAAGGTGGTACAAACGAGTACAAACCGAGCTAAATTTAATGCGCACTTGAAAAAATTTTTTTCTTAAAGTCGGGTGCCAGGTTCACATAGGTGCACTGAGTTTGATGCAAAAACAATCTGCAATCGTTATATCATCGAATTATGTCAATTTTCGATTTTGTTGCTAACCGTAACATATCGAAAATAAATAATTTATCCCGGATGACCGCACGCTCTAAGCTCCCTTGCCCGATCCTTTCAGATTTTGTTGCTCACATGAATTCGATATAAAAATGATCTGCAAGCATCGTACTATCGAAATAAGTCGATTTTTTATTTTGTTGCTAACTAACGTGTTAAAATTAAATAGTTTATCCCGGCCGACCGCGCCGCGCGCTCTAATTGTAAGTTCCTTTGCCCGATCCTCCCAGAATTTGTTGCTTGCATCATGTGTTTGATATAAAAATAATTTGCAAGCATCGTACTATCGAAATAAGTCGATTTCCAATTTTGTTGCTAACTGTAACGTGTTAAAATTAAATAGTTTATCGCGGCCGACCGCGCCGCGCGCTCTAAGTTTCTTTGCCCGATCCTCCTAGAATTTGTTGCTAGCATGAGTTTGATATAAAAATAATCTGCAAGCATTGTATTGTTGAAATGTAACAAGTTTCGATGAAACTGTTTTTGGTATGATAGTCACTTTTTCTCGGATAAATCATTGATTAACCACCTGTTTTTGAAAAAAATTGACAGGCTTGGCTCTTTTAAGAAATTATATTTTTTGGAACATCTTAAAGTTAAAATGAATTGACGTGATGAATTAGAGGTGCGATAGTGCATAAATGGAAAGGATTGAAACATCCAGAGACGAAAAGAAAAGTTTTACAAGCATTTTACAAGTACTGTTTATTCAACTTTGTTTACAGTTTGATATAGTTCTAATTTAATTAGATATTTTAATACCTGTAAATTGTATAATTTGGCTACAGTGTAACGTCACATACATATATACATTATCGGAGCGTAGAGATATATTATCGTTTTAATTTATAAAATTGCTTGGGATATCATTATTACAGTGTTGCACAAAAAATGAATTTTGAAATTCCCTGACTTTTCCATAATTAATATCAAATATAATTTTAAATTTTAATGTTTACAAGATACATACAAGAAAGGTAACTTATATCATTAGAAGTAACATAAATGTAAAAGTTTAATAACATAATGTAATCCCAAATGCAAATTCAAGCCAACAAA